CACCTAGCACGGTCCTTGCTGACCCAGGTGACGACTGAACTGGTGTGGGTTTCTGTAAATTACATCTCGCCATCCTGTTTATGGGAGAGGCACTCTTCGTCTGGCCCCTCTGATGAGACCTGTCCAGTATAGTTGAACCTCTGGCATAGCCCTCATCCTCCTCGGAGCACGCAAGCCCCACCACCACGTCAAGGTAGTGCCTCCCTGGGGAATTATTATTATTATTATCATCCTGCCTTTTTTTTTTCTTCAATATTTAGTCAACTCAAGGTGGCAGAGATACTTAATACTCCTGCCTCCTATTTCAGTTCACTTCCTTTTGGTGCATTCGAGTCATTGTTGACGCCTGGCGACTGCCTGGACAAGCCCCTGCAGTTTTATTAGTTTTAGGCAAGTCCCTATTTTATTAGCATTATTCTATTAACATATCCATGACCACCAAAGCATGTCTTCGTTTCCTTCGGGAAGCTTAACACTGGGGAAACCCTGACTGACCCTGGGTCGGTGTCCCTCTCCCTCTCTAGCCTACCTCGCGGGATTGTTGTTGGGGAGACCAAAGAAGCCCTCCACGGACGCCGCCCGGAGTTCCCAGCGCAGCGCAGCGCAATAAATACCTCGCTCCCTTCCGCAGCCCTGGGCTTCCCGCTTCCTTCTCTTGCTCCTGATTCCCCGGCGACTCAACGGCACCGCCGCAAGCAAGGACGGTCCCCTCCCCAAATCCTCCGCCGAGCAACACTTCCGCCCCTCTTCAGGCTTTCCTTGAGCTCCGAACTTTCGCAGACGCTCGAGCAGGGACGGTGCAACCTTATATACTGCTCGGCAAGGAACACTTCCGCCCCGCTTTTCGCGGTCTCAGGTTCAACCGAGGCTGGTCCGACTCCATAAATCACCCGGCCGGCCACACGCAGCTCCTTCCGGGCTTAGGGAGACGCTCGCGCAAGGGCGGGCCGTCGCTATAAACGGTCCGGCAGGCAACACTTCCGCTCCTTTTCTAAACTGATACTGTATTTACTTTTTCGAAGGGTGATCCCGATTACTCCTGCGAGCTGCTTTGCTTCTCTTCGCTTTCTTCCTTCTGCTCTTGGGCTGCTGTCTTTCCTCTTCGGCCAAACGATCATTTCGGCGCGCTTTTATTCCCCACTCCAAGTAGTAAAGGGTTGCTAGAAGAGCCTTTCCTCAACAGGGATCAGGATGGATGGATACGTACATATATACCGTATTGGCTAACGAAATGCCTTCTCTTATTTCACCTCCAGGCCTAGGATTGCTGTGGCTGATATGCCTGAGGGAGATTCTGGACGTGCGGCTGCCTTTCATTCCCCCCCGAGAGATGCCCCGCAGCCTTCCCTACCGCTGCCCTGCTCCAGCGACCCAGATAAAACGCTTTATTCGCTCTTGCTGCGCCGCTAGGAAGGCCTGCGGACCGGGGGAAGCCTCGCTCAACTGGAGCGCGTAATAGAGGGACTTCAGGGCAGAGATTCTGTAAAGAGGTTGGCTGCTATGACAGGCTTCTTATCCACAGGATCGGTATTGTGAGAGAGGGCTCTTTATTCGAAGCGATTTGCGTTAATGAAAGGGGGCCAGGAGAGCTTGGCTTTCTGGTCAAGGTTTGTTGACTTGTAGCTGATGTTTAATTAGGTTACTTGAAGATTGTTTGTCTTGGCAATGACGGTGTCATTCTGGTTGTCCCTGTTTATGTTGACGAGAATGTAGATTCTTACCTCTAATGCAGGCGGAAGCTTTCTTGTAAGTTTCCTGAAAGGCAAAATGATGCCCAGCTTTTGATACTTTTACAAATGTAGCTGGAATTCTGTGAGTGCTCCTGTTTTTCTTAAGAAACATTTTCAGTTGGTAACATAGACTAGCAAGAGGGTAAACTTAAACCATGGAGGGAGAAAAGAAGACTGTTGCTCTTGATGGAAACTGCCAGTTTGTTAAAAGAGTGATCACCTGGGAAATCTCTGATTCTGAAGAAGACAGTGATGTTAAACCAGAACCCTCAACCGCTTTTGCAAATTATTCAGGTGTTGGAGCTCAGGGCTGTCCAGACAGACAAAACTTAGAGCCGTGCATGATGCTGCATGAAGCAAAGGCAGTACCTTTGCTTACTCCGTCGACCCAAACAGTATCTTGTAATTCAAGTCCAGAGAGAAAGAAGAAAAAGCAGTCCCTGGAAAAAACCAAGATGGGCCGGGCAAAAAGAGAAGAAAAAAAGGAGAGGGTGCACAAAAAAGAAGAAAAAGTGAAGATAAAAAAGCAGATTGCAGCTGAGAAAGAGAGACGAAAGGAAGTAGCAGCTGCCTTGAAATTCCTTCGACCTGAGCAGTGCATGAAACAAATGATTGTCTCTGTGGATTCAGGTAGCGTGTTTGCATTGCATGGTTATTCCCATGTTTGTTTGGTGCCTTTGAGTCAGTGTTGACTCCTGGCAACCACTTGGACAGGTCCCTGCAGCTTTTTTGGCAAGATTTCAGAAGAAAGCCCAGCTGGCTTCATACCTAAGGCAGGACTAGAACTTAGTGGTCTCTCGTTTCTAGCCTAATGCCTTTAACTGCTATACCAAAATGGCACTCTAGTAATAATAATAATGATAATTCCTTGCACTTTTCTTGGCAAGATTTTTGGAAGTGGTTTGCCATGCCTCTTCCTAGGGCAAAGAGAGAGCAACTGGGCCCAAGTCACCCAGCTGGCTTTGTGCCTAAGGTGGGACTAGAACTCACGGTCTCCTGGCTTCTAGTCTGATGCCTTAAACACGACACCAACCTGGCTCTGTGTTCCCATCTTTTACTCAGAGGGATTTCTGGAATGTTTCTTTTCCGCTCCCCCCTCCCCCACCACAATAGCCTTTAAGGTGGCTTTCAGATTCTACTTCAAGTGACATAAAATGACCAATAAACAGACTAAAACCAGTATTTTAAAGCAATAGCTAAAAATAAGCCAAAATTGGAAGACTCTGCAGGTGGAGTGGTTAGAATAGAGGAAAACAAAGTCACCTCCTTGTTGCATTTGATTAGAAGAGCAGCAACATCTCAAATTCTGGAAAAAGGGTTATTCCAAGCCCATGTTTCACATTAGGATAAGCTGTAGCTGTTGATTTCAGTTTCAGCAGAATAATTCATTATTTTGGAATTACAGTAGAGGGAAGAGGTTTGGCACAGTACTGCACGTTATAGTTGAGATGCCGCCAAAAGATCATTTATTATCCTTTCTCTTCAGGTCTTCTAGAGCACCTTGGTTCTGATATCTTGCTGGATGTTTTGGGCTCTTTGGACTGTAAATACTATATTGAACACCAGATAATTCCACATAGCATAACCTGGAAGAGAAAGATTTTGAGCAGCATGTCTGGTTCAGTAAGTATCTGAACTGAAAATCCACGGATAGCCAAAGAAACAAGACTGAGTGTGGGTTTGTGTGATGGTTCAATTGCTTTCTGCTCTTCTGCTTTTCATAGTCCTTGAAGGTTTTTATTCATTTAGGGTTGCCTGTGCATCACATCAAAGAGAGTTGGCCCCAACACTACTAAAATGCATTATTGTCAATGCTTTTTGAAGGGAAATTCAGCAGCATACTTGGATTAGAATGGATTTCTCCATTTGAAGTTGGGGACAGCCATGCATGAAGCGCTGCTCTGGATTACTGCTCTGATCCATTAACCTATTTTGCCATGGCTGCCAAATTCCTACACAGAGATTAATAGAAGAAACAGACACAAAGCAGTCAAGGAATATAATAGTAAATACAGCAATGGACTCCCAGACTCAGTCTCTGTTGGGCTTGGCTCACTTATACCATATTTGATCTCTAATAGGCATGTCAGCTATGAAACTCACCCCCATGCTTTTCCTTCTCTCAATTATTGTATAGTTCCCACTGATTTTAATAATCCTTTGGCCTGTGGCTGTTCAGCTAATAAATCTGTCTTGCCAAATGTCCTAGCAGAAAGGGTAATGTCTATGTAATCTATATATTTAAAACCTATCTTCCCTTACTAAAGGTTACTAATTTGCCGGGGGGAGGGCAATTAAATGTTTCATTAGAACATTGTTTTTTATAACTGAATCCTTGTTGTTGCTATAAATTGGTGATACTCTTTAGACTGTTGCACTAAAAACTGGGATGTGAACTGGTCTATGACCATGTATTTTTAAAAAATGATTTGAAATCCATGAGGGTAGACAAAAATGCAAGGCTGAAGCTGGTGAAAGGCTAAGTTAAGAGCACCTTGCTTCAGGATCTCTTCTCTGCTTCTGCAAACCACTGTCAGGAAGGGATGCTGGGTTTAATAAATGTTTAGTCTGAGCTAGCAAAGTTGCTCCTTCTTTTCTCTCTCCTGGCAAAAGGTTAACTTTATTTCTGCAGGATGGTTGTCAAGAAAAGACTGCAGTGGAAAGTGAGGTCCTGCTAGTGATGCAGCCTTCACATTTTCTCAGACAACTTTTCTCATCAATGCAGGTACTGTACAATAGCTTGATTTGCATTTGATGTTGTGAATATGAATACAAATGGTGCTCTCTGTAGCCCTTGTTAAGCAACTTCCATGTATTACATTGGCAAGCTGAAAAAGAAAAATCAGCCTTACATCTGCCCCAAGAGCTTAAGAACCTTTTCTGGGCCTGAAATAGGAAAAAATGAATTATGCTGACTCCAGTTGTTCTAGTCAAGCAGTTCATTTTGCAGTCCTTTGCACGTTTAACAGAGGAAGGTTAAGAACATTTATGGCCATCTTCATGTTCAGTATGTTTCATGTCTACACTGGATGTTCTGAGTATATGTTCAAAGCACGGGAGCACTAATGCAGTACGTGAAACACAAATAGAACTTCCAGTAAAATACTGCAATTTATCCTCTGCCCCTAGCAGGAATGCTGCCAGCCAGCCAGCCAGGCAGGCCCTTCTCCAAGATGGTTTTAAACTGTAAGTTGCTCAAGGAGTCTTTCATTCTCCTAAATCAGTTTTCTGTTATCCCTGCAGCTCAACATGCCATGGCTACCAAGTATGCCCAATTCTCATTTAGTTCAGGTTCTCACTCTTCTTAAAGTTATTATTTTTAAGGCATTTTTGCAAGTGTTGGCTTTCCTCCCAGTTGCTTGATGGTCCTCTTTTGCTCTATTTTTACTGGCCCCCGTTGCCTGAGTTTGCTCTTACAAAGACTGATTCTCAGCTTGTTGTGCCTTATGTAACAAGAAGGATGAGGGGAGAAGAAGATGGTATGTTTCAGAGTTTTATCTTATTTCCAGACACCTAGGGAGATGGAGCTTTAGTGTGGAAGAACTAATAATTAAGAGGAAATGCACTAGAAAGCTAGATTGACAGCAGGCAGAATCCAAGAGGACAGTACTGGAAGCATTAAGCAAAAAGGTGAGCAGGGAAGAAAGGTGAGCCAAGGTATACAATTAAAAAAAAAGGTATGATAGAAAAGAACAGATTTTATTTCTCACATAGGAAAAAACCTACACTGCATATACTCAGCCAGGAGAGTAAAAGGGTTCCTCCTCTCTGCACCAGCCAGGTTACTGCTCAAATTTGTAAGCAAGATATAATAGGTCCTGGCATTCTACAGCACCCAAGTGGTCATATATTGAAGTACACACTAAAAAAAAAAAAATATATCCAGGCTGATTTTAATCCAGGAAAGATCAGTACCCCAAGATTTGTTTTAAATAAGCATATTCAAAATCAGCCACCTGGAAATAGAATACAAGTGTATTCAACTGATTGAAAGGATCTTTGAAGAAAGTAAGATAGCCAAGTGGTGGTGCGCAAAGGAAGATGTTCGAAAGTGCAAATAACTATTACAATACTAATGCTAAGAAGGGGGGAACCATTTCTGAAAATAATCTATCACAGTAATCCACCCTCAAAAAGCACACCAGGGAAGGTTTGTGCCATTGATAACCATTGGCAAAATGACTACAAGGCAATTACCTGGAGGTTTAATGTTGTCCCCTCCACCTATCTAAATTAGATAGGTGCTAACACATTTGAGGTCTGAACTCCTTCACCTCTTCTTCCGTGGAATCCAAAATTGTTTTTAAATTTGTATGTAAAATTGGTAGGTGAATTTTTTTTTGTTCCTGTAATCTTTGACTTTTTTTTTTTCCTAATTTTAGAACCCAAGTCCTGATGGCCAGCAGAGTGTACCAGATCTTACCCATCTGTTTCCCTTTCACAATTTGGAAGATCCTTCCACGGTATCTTACAGCATGGTTGTCATTGGACTAGACACCTACCAATGGTACACAAGATTGGGTTGTGCGAGTTGTGGGTCCCAAATTGCAGGTCCCAAGGGTATCTCTGATATGCAGAATGTAGGGCTCCATCTTTGACCCTTCCATTTTGTTTCATGACAGCCTTGAATTCCTTTTTTATGATAAAGCAGATTACCGACAGATAAAAAGACTGAAAATAGGTGGTATAAACATGCTATTCCCAGCTTCACAGGGAAAATTTGGTTCAGAAGGTGTAACGTGTAAACAGTCTCGCTTGAACTGGTTCATTTAACTGGCAGCTTGCAGCCTGGATGTAGTAAGTCTAATTCTACATTTAGGATCCTGGGATTTCAGCCATAGATTTCAGCCTTTCTGGTCAAAAGGTTGATCTCAGCCATAAGCTTTTGTTGTAAAAGGGTAAGCTGGTATTAAACACAGAACAAATGCATTTAGGATCCTGGGATTTCAGCCATAGATTTCAGCCTTTCTGGTCAAAAGGTTGATCTCAGCCATAAGCTTTTGTTGTAAAAGGGTAAGCTGGTATTAAACACAGAACAAATGCAAATGTTTAAAGGAAGATTCTCAAGTTGATCATGTCTCCTGGTTTTCTGTTACCTTCTTCCAGATCTTAATTTAGCTCTCCAGTCTTGTTTACAGTCCTAGGACTTCCTGGCTGCATCCCTCCAAGTATTAACCAGATCTAACTCTGCTTAGCTTTTCATTTAAGATTTTTTTAGGAAAAAGCAATATATATAAGCGCTTCTAACAATGAAAGGCAATAAAACAAGTTCATTCTTTACTATTAACTGCCCCAAATGCCTCAGGGGCTTAAATTAACCTACACTTTCCCTGCACGCAACTTTTCAAATCACAGTAGCTTGAAAAAAATAATTTTGTGCTTTCAAGTCAGTCTTGACTACTGGTGATTGAACAAGTCCCTGCAGTTCTCTCGGCGAGATTTTTGGAAGTGGTTTGTTGCTGGCTTCTTCCCAGGGCAGAGAGAGAGAGAGAGAGAGAGAGAGAGAGACTGGGCCAAAATCAGCCAACCGACTTCATGCCAAGACCGGACTAGAACTAATCTCCTGGTTTCTAGCCTGGTAACTTTAACCACTATACCAGAATATTAATTATCCAATTATGGTTCTTCTCTGAACTGCCTAGGTATAACCAGCATCATCAACTTTCACAGGAAGCACCAATCTCTGGACAGGAGAAATGGCTGGAAGAGGCAACACTGAAGCTTGGTCCAGAACACTCCATGACACAGCATCAAATTGAGGAGGTAAATGTAGAAACTAGTTTATCAACCGCAGTAGAGGGCTCCATTCTCTCACGGGCATCCAGGTTATCAGTAGTGGAAGCAGGAGGGTGCTTTTGTGTTCTTGTCTTACTTGCAGACATCCCACGGGCATCTGGTTGGCCATAGTGGGAAAAAGAATAATTAGAGAGGCCGTTTTCATCTACTCCATCAGAGCTTTTCTTTAGGCAGCAAAAAGAAGTAACAAAATCAGTAAAAATCAAGATTAGTTCTTGGAAGATCGCTCCATCCTCAGTTCTAAGTGTTATATAGGTTCTCAGAAGTAGTAGCCCTTTGACTACTACATGCAGAATCCGGCTATTGTCTTCATGCCCCAGTTTAGAAGAGTCAAAAACAGCTGCTTCCCATTGTCTGCCACAGAATGCTTGATAGAAATCGGCTATTTTTTTCCCTTCCTTCTAATCCCTTGCCTGATGTAATGTCAAGGGTGATATGGCAAAAACACTAAAATAGGAATTACCAGTTGAGTCATCATTGCTGAAGCTAGCCCAAATGGACAGGAAAAGGGCCTAAATTAAAGGCAGTCTTTTATGCATCAGTATTTTGCACCCTGGAACCTCAGAAGTTATGCAGAAAGGCCAAATGCTCCTGTTTCTCTTGCTCTCATTTAGTCTCTCCACCTCTTTCTCCTGCAGGCTCTGGTGGTGTTGCAACTCCGGGGTAACATAAATGTACTATTCCTGGAAACGTGGCAGGATTTGGCCCAGCATGTTTCTGCAATGACCAGAGCCATAGCGCAGCGTCCCTATAAGTGAGTGTCAGTTGCCTTGGCAAAGCTTTGGCGCCCCGAACCTTCTCCTGCACTGAGAAATAGGAACCAAAAGGCCATCCCACAAGCTTTTCCTAATGAAATCTAACCTGTAAACAAGGCTTTTCCATGACAGTCTTTGTAGGGCCAAACAGAATACAAAGGGACTACTTCTTTAAGAAAATGTTTAGTGTTTTGCTGATACAGCTACATCTTGATTTACAGACACTCTATTTAGAACAAGTCAGAAAGTACACTCTTGCTTGCATGCCTGGCATTGCATGGTCCATTGAGAATACCTAGTTCACATTAGGGGTGTGTGAAACGTTCCACCATGGAACATTCTGAGCCCCAAATGGACCCAGACAAATCTTGGAATGGGCCATTCTGACCACCATGGAAGCAGTGTGACCAGGACAACTCTCAGAATAGGTTACTGTGAGGTTGGGCACCCCTAGTTCCTGCATCGCTTTAAGCCAAAATGGTAGCCTGTGTATAACCTGTACATAATGGTTCCTTCTACAGGAAGCATCAGGAAAAGCAGCCTTTCTCCTTCTGTGCCAAAGGCAAATGGGCTAGCGGCGTGCACATTAGCAAGGATGGGAAAGGGCTCCATGAGACCTGGTTGAAACAGATCCAGCAGTTCAACCGAGTCAGCCCAGTCATGGCAGCAGCCATTGCCCAAGCCTATCCTTCACCAAGTCTGCTGCTACAGGTTGGTTCATTCCACCAGTTTCTTTGTCTTGGCTGTAGAGAAGGAAAGAGAAATCAAGGGAGGTAGTTTTCAAGAATAGGGGCTAAACCAGGCATCAAATTCTGTTGTCTCAGAGAGTAGGATTAAGTGGGCGTAAGTAAAAGACACAGAGACTTCAGCGAAGGGGAAAAAAATATTACTGAGACGTTTACTCAGATGCTGCAGTGTAGTTACTACAGAGAAGGCTGGATAAGCTACTCCTAGTAGGCTCCATTCCATTCTCTCCAACAGTGTCAGATTCTGATTATTGCAAGCCTACTGGGTTCTCCTATGTGAGGAAGTATTTCCGAGTTAGCTTTTTTCCCTCTAAATATTTTTTGTTTCACGGCAATATACCCACGTCCTGCTTTTGCTGTTACCTTCTTGTTAGCCATGGGGGTTCTGTTTTGCTTACATAAGGATCCTCATTAAGAAAACAAATCTGTTTATGGATCAGATCTTTAATGATAAAAGCCATAACAAAACTAATTAGCTCCACTGGACTCTGCTTAAGGCAGAGTCCTTAAACAGAAGGTGGACAGTCTTGTTAGCAACACTCCAGTTCTGCTTTCCTTGTAGCAAACAACAGCTTGCTACCTCACCACTTTTGCTATCAAGATCTCTTTACTAGACAATAGGCTTTTAAAAAAAAGCTAGGGAGAAAGAGGGGGAAATTGGAATAATCTCACATAGGCTGAGACCAGATTACGAGATCTCCATGCTTATTTGGTATCCTTGCTTTTTTCAGGCCTACCGAGAATGCAATACAGATGCAGACAGACAACTTCTCCTAAGCGACATCCAGATCAAGACTGAGGACAATAAAATGGAGAGACGGATTGGCCCAGACCTGTCTCGTCGAGTCTACCTTTTCATGGTATCTACAAACCCAGAGGTTGTCCTAGATTTAGGTGCTTGATATCCTTGCTGTGCTGTTCTCTGACTGCCAGGCCTTAGCTCCTTGTTTGTTCTTTACTGTCAAAGCTTTAGGATTTATAGCAGAATTTGAGTTTGGCAAAATCAGCAAATGTCTTTGTGCAAAAATTCTATCAATGATCCCCGTGGTGTGTTTTTTTTTCATCCCCGTTCTTCTGTTGAAGGAAAACTCATTTTGCAGTATTGTTACATATCATTACGCTGCTTCTATTTGAATTTATGAAGCCGTCCTTGGCACAGTTGTTGGGTTCATATATTAAGCTAAACCAGAACCTGCCTTGGTGAGAATATGAGAGAATCTGGTTGTTTATAAAAATGTTAATGGATCTTTTAACTGTGGAAAAGCATTATGAAAAAGGAACACCTAGTCCTATATCTTACTGTAATCTTAGTCCCAGTTAAGTCATCAGTTCCACTGAGACTGCAGCTCAGTGTTCCCTTTCACTTAATCAGATGATACAAGGACTTCAGAAGGGAGTCTATTATACTGCCAAATCACACAGTGGTTAAATTCAGAAATTAATACTAATCCATCGTTTACTACAAAGCAATGCCGTCTTGTTCCCTTTTATACAACAATTTTCACAATGAACCACACTTTGCCATTTGCATTAAGCATAGGAGAAGCTGAAGGGAACTGTAATCGCCCTTGTGCTTATCCATACATTACAAATATCAAGAGCGCCTTTTCTGGCCGCCCATATGACCATAAGCAGTCATCAGGGAAAGGTCGTACCGATACTGGTTTCCGAATTGCAAAATGCCCTCCCAGTACATGTCACTGCAGCTAGTTTTTGTCACAAAATCAAAGAAAGAACTGGAATATTTAAACCTACCTCCCTGGGAAATAGGCTTGGGATGTGAATACCTCTAAATAAGTAAATTGTGGCTGGCTGTGAAAGAAGAAATACAGGACCTGAGAACAAGGAGAAAGAGGGAGCATCCGTGGCTGAAGTTCATTCACATAATTCCAACTACTAGCCTGGTACTATGTTTGAACCAAATAATCAAGAATTAGGGAACCTAATTAGAATTATTTTAGATGAGAGGACAGTAAGGTTGATAGACTAGCCTATCATCATTGATCAAAGTCTGTATATATTTTAATTAATTTGTGTATAGTTCAATACAGGAGAAGTAAGACATGCAAAGCAATTGGAAGAGTTGCAGGGCTCACATGATACCACTTACACTGAAACAGGTAATGTTCTCTTCTGAAAACCAACAGTGCCAAAGCACTAAAAAACAAATAGAACCATTTGGCTCTGGAAAAACTGCTGTTCCTCTGTCCCAAACCGTTGGAGCCAACTACGGCAATTCACACAGCACACGTGGTAGCTTCTTAGGTTTCCCTCTTATAAATTTGGCTGCAGGAAGAAAGAAAACTTGGCAAACCAGAGTTGATGACCAGCTGGCCACCGGTACAATGAAGCTGTGGAAATTGCCTGTCTCCTAAAGGCAGATGTTGTCCAGAGTTGAACAGGCTTTTGTGTTCAAACAGGGTACAATCACGAAGGTAAATGTCACTCTGTAACTCTGAGAGAACCCCTCGTCCTTCATGACGCTGTCTTTAAAGGGGAAAAAAGTTAAGTCCTCCACCTGCATCTCTTCCGATGACGTGCCTCAGCATCCGACCCACAAGAGCTGTCTGAATCGCTTCCTGAGGAGGTAGAAGAGGAGGTCTGGAGCGAGCCACAGTTCATGCTCAATACCCAGCCCAATCTGTTGTGCAAAATCTGCTTGAGTCCTGGAGGGAGGGGAAGCACCTCTAGCGTGTCCACATAGTCAGGAAGCAGCTGACGGAGGCGGTAACAGCAGAGGTACTGCAGTGAGGTGGGGGTAGCACAGGAGCGGATTATTTTCATGCTACTTTTGGCTGCAGTCGAACACACCATAGGGTAGACCCTCTTGTTCTGGAGCTTGGTGGCAGCCACACCTGAGTCAAAGTATAAGCAAGGAGGCCCAGGTTAACACACAGACATGGAATGGGATAAAAGAGACCACACAGTGACATATCTGGGGGTAAAGTTGCACTTCCTTTATTCCTCAGCATTTCTACGATGGAATCTTCCACTTTAGGCCACAAGTGCCACTACAGCTGCATGGTTCTGCTGTCCTTTTCTCTGGACCCAATAATGAAAACTGACCAGGCGCAAGCCAGTTATATTCTTCCTAGGAAATTATACAGGTGTCGTGGACAAGTTCAGTACCTGAGCAGCTGACTTATAAATTAAGTCCACTATTTAGCAAACCAGTCCAGACATTGTTCCTATGTTTTACATTCATTTCACACAACTGTAAAATCCTATTTGCCATTTAAGAGACATTTATCTCCAGCAGATACACTTTCCTCCAACTAGTCTATTAAATTGGTTTATTATTCTCTTCTAATTTACTCTAATTTATTATTATTCTCTTCTAATTTACTCTACATTATGCCGTACCATATTAGTTTTCAACAGGTAAACACTTAGGTAGTCCTTTCAGCAGCAGGTAACTATACCTCAGACACCCTCCTCCCCCTATTCAAATAAACAGTCTATGATTTTGGAATGGAAGAAACCAATTGCCTTTTAGAGACGCTCCCATAAATTTATCCATAGATTTCCCACATTTTGTTAGCCTAAAAGCACATCTGGCCTCTTCCACCTTACCTATACATTTCCTGTTTTTGAAAAAGGTTAGAGTCCCATGCCATGTGTCCAGATGCACCCCAATAATGGAACCCTGTCCAAATCTTGTTGAAAAGTTACTCCGCTCTCCCTTGTGCTGGAGGAGCCCTACAGGGAAAGGAACACTCACAATTAGAATATCAAGGTTTCTAATTTCTGCAAAGGTAGAAAGAACCTCATAGAGTTCATTTAACTCTCTGTTTAACAGAGTTTGTAATACGAGATGCAAAACAACATCCTCATCAGATAGCTATCTAGTTTTTACCTAAACTCCTCTAGCAAAGTCCATGACCTTCTAAAACAATCCATTTCCTTTCAAACAGCTTTTATTAATGTTTCACTAAAATAGTTTCCCCAAAAATGTTTAGCCATGGATCTAAATCTATTTCCAGGAGCCCCAAAGAACAAAGCTACTATGACTTCTATATGACAGCTCTTCAGATCTTTAAAAACTAATACATCTCCTCTGAATCTTTTCTCCAGAGTAAACACACAGAGCTCTTTCAACTATTCATCATAAAACTTCCTCTCCTAACCTCTCATCTATGATTCAACTGCAAATGATATAGAAAGTGGCTGGGTTCATGCAACACGTTGCTGTAGATGTGTAAACCAGCCACTGCCATTTATAAGCCATACCTTAGGACTGGTTCACATAGTATGTTAAACTCTGATTGATTTAATCATAGTTTACTGAACCAAGCACAACTGACTGAGTTCAAGTAAATAAAACTAATACTGTACTGCAAAGTACAGCAGCTGATTTCATACAACATAAACCAAAAACCAAAACACTTTTATACCTGCCACCATCTACAGATTCTCATTCAGGCATGAGCTACAAAAATTCACATGTATAGTCAGGTCCAGAAATATTGGGACATCGACACAATTCTAACATCTTTGG